TTTTCACGTTCGAAATTTGAAATCTACAAAAATCTATTCAAGGTCTAAAAATCTAAAGTTCAAATATCTAAAACTTCAAAAAAGATAATTATAAAATTCAAAACACCGCTTTCTGGCCATATGGACATGTCTATCACAGTTTGTGAGGTAGCCTAGTAAGAGTCAATTTTCTCTCTCTACACTTCAACATTCATAAAGAATCGTGTTTGAAAAGAAGCTGAAAACCATAACATGTACAAGGTGATTCAAAAAACCTTATCCCTTTATGAAATATAATGTTTACGTTTATAATACTCAAGGTTGGAACTAATGTCTTTTGTAATAGATAGGGCTGAGAAAGTGCTACTATGTGAATAGAAGTGTTTGTATTTTGAAAGCACTCTATTGCAGATGAATACAAACAACGAACTTATTCATAATGAACTTTGATCCGAAACGAAACTATTTTTGCTTTTTAACCCACTTTCTAGTACAAAATTTAATAATTCAATAAAGAGACAGCAAAATGACTTCAAATTTTGAGGCAATACTTTAAGGCGTTCACAGCTTAAGTACACGCAAAAATTATTTCGAATGATCTTTCACTTGGAACCACTATTAAGAAATTAGTTTTAATTACGACATCATAGGAAACAATGTAAAGCAGGAAAAAGAAAGCATGAAATGGTAACTAACTTTCAAATAAAAATAAAAATCTATGAAAACGAACAGTCTCTTTAAAATAATGCTTTTTAAATCCAAATATTTTCCATAATGAGCATACGATTAATATTAGATCAATCCACAAAACTAAGTAGCGGAAAAATCAGATTATAATCGATTATTGAGTAAAGATCTTCAAAGGCTAGTTTTTCAATTTCTTTTTTAAATGCATTGATTTTTTTAAAACACAAATTTGATCAATTAGTATCGCATAGAATTTTTTGGATTCTGAACTAAATATACTATTTGAATTGATTATTATGAGTGATCATCGATTAAACATGATTGTCGCAGAAGAGATAATTGATTTTCGTTGATTAGACAGATTTAACAAAGGATTTTATCCCATTCAGATTTTTTCTAACCAATTTTAATCATAATTGTACAATCCTAATTCTTTTTGAAGTTATCTAGCAGTTCTAAATATTGTTAGTTAGTTTAAGAACGAATAACTGACGACAAATCGTTCAAAATAAGATAATCTTGTAGAATTGTTGAAAATTAGATTATAATCGACTCTGGGATTAAAATCAGATTAGTTGCAGAATACTTTTATGCGAATATAGCTACACAAAATTCCAACTCAAACATAACTTTTAGTGAAATATCCGTCCCTGCCTGCTGAAGGTATACCGTTCTAGCAGAAATTTCATATAAAATGAAGAACGTTTTCGTCTTTAATTCTGATGAAACGATTTCAAAGTAAAACCATCGTTATCAAAGAAGTTTTTTTCAGCTCTATCTATTACAAGAAGAATGGGATAAACATGCAGAAAGGTTAGTGCAGAAAAAAAAGGTAAGTTTTTTGTTTGGATTAGCCTATACATTAGTAACAGTTAGTGACCTTAGTGTGTCTGTCTAAACTCTTAGCTAATGTAACAAAGCAGTACTAGAGGCATGGCAAAATAATAGTTTGATCATATGTATCTCACTTTTACTGAAGATGGTTTTAATATATCCGAAGAAAAGTTTGTGAAAAACCAGATCAGTAAATATTTCGAACCGCTATATGATATAATTCATTTGAATGTGACAGAAAAAGTCAACCTATTGCAACCTGTTTAAAAAAAAGACTTCTTCTCCGGAAATAAAATTTGTATAAAATAACATAATACAAATTGCCGATCATATATATTTGACACATTTTTCTTTAGACCAAAGGGTCAGTATGCCTATGCACTCGCCCAGAGTTTTCTCCTTTTGTACAATCTTGAAATGGATAATGTCTCGATTCAACTCGGTAATCTAACCTGGCCCGACAGCTCTTTCCTTCCGCGTGCTGTAGATATCAGTCAAGATCTATTCATTGTGGTACTAGGCTTTGTGGGTGATTCGAGCAGCAACTACACTCCATGCGCTTATCTACTAAGTAGATCTGCTTCAAATTTGACTGTACTTGACACATGGATGTACATGCCACCGACGGCTAATTCATGGCAAGCAAGTCTTACAAACTGGGACGCCGATATCTACTTGCCCAAATACGACATGTCAGTGAGCTTCAACGATGCTAAAAATCAAGTTCTGCTCGGAATTCAAATAACAAACACTATTATATTGCTTGATATTGATCGAACCACTCTAAAATTCATCTTACCATCGCAATCACTCTCGAATGGAAAGGCAATAGGAATGGGTAAAACAGTCGGTTGGCTCAATAGTGATGTTGCTGTGATACTAGTTAATACATACTCTCTCAATTACGTTTGGTCAGCATCACAAATCTTTACGTATAATGTGAATGTTAACAATAGTTTCGTCATCGAGTCCATTATACCAAATGCTCAACAGACATTAGCACCAGGATTTGGTCCTATTCTAATAGCGCATACTGTTACTAAAAGTGGTATTGTGATAATGTTAGATTCACAGGGAGACATTTACATTCTTCTCCCATCACCTCCCGGTTCATTCTCAGACAGTAGTACTAAATTGATTTCGTCATTTCTACCATGCATCGGCGGTAGTTTCAGCTCTCAGTTTGACATTCACCCATGTTTGCTTTGCCCTCAGGGTTCCAGTACATATGGTCAAACTGGTCAATCATCATGTGTATTATGTGAAAACGATACTTTTTGCCCACTAGGCTCCGCCTTCGGAAATATTAGTTCGTCTTCTTTGTTCCTCACAAGTATCAATCAAGCACGTGCCTACCCTTTGTCGCCAAAGTCAGTTCGTTTTGACAATATTCTAATGGAAAATATGTTTGTTATTCATGCCTCTTCATCAAATCATTGTCTACTCGTATCAGCCTTCTTCTGGTCATTGATCATCATATTATTAGGTATTCTCATCGTAGTTATTATGATGATTCTCAAATACTGCATCAGGCATCCTCGAGGAAAGAAAACACAGCATCAACTCAAACGTTTTTTCAAGCAGACCGATCTTGTTGGTGAAGGTGAATTATGGATAGGCGGAATAGTTAGTTTTGCAATTATTTTCCTCTCTATATCCGCTTACGTATTCAGCAGTACGTATTATCAGCGTTATCCAATTGAAAACCTCCATAACAATGTTGCATTTGCTTGTGATTCTACTTTGACGAATGCTCAATTCAGCTCCGGCTTGATGTCTCTTATGATTTCACCGAATGACGATGAATTACCCATATTTGAACTTCTCAACGCGCAGCCATTTACGCTGCATATTGACTTCGTTAATACGCTCTATAGATGCACCGATGTAACATTAACACAAATAAAGGACAAAAAACTACCTCTGCCCATTTCGTCATGCAGTAACAGCAATGGTAGCTTATCATTTTCAGTTCTATTACCATCGCATGGTATGAATTTAGAATTTCTGCTCGTTGGTATTAATACTATCGGTGGTGTTCGTCTAGCTCTTCAAGGACCGGGTGTCCAACAGGAGAATGATACTCTCGAAGCTAAATACACGCTTGTCAATCTCAACTTCGCTCAGTTTTTTTCAGTTGTTAGTCGTGTACTCACAGAGCAACCATCGTTCACTATGCAGCTTACAAAAGTGATTAATCGAACTTCCCCACTTCATGAACACGATGCGAAACTATTGAGAGCTTTCTGGTTACCCTATATCTCTGCAGATGTCAATCAAATATTTGCTGAAGAACACGAATATATATATGCAACGAGTTCGAATACAATTATTTCTCTGGTCATATATGAGACGCCATTTTACGTATTAAATACACAAAGACCGATTACTGACGAGGCCGAGCTTGTCTTCAACGACCTTCTATTCACTATTATGTGTGTTGAAGTCTTCGGTCTGATTTTTCTCATCTTTAAACTTATACTTGTTCCGCTTGTCAGACATCTATGTAAGTGTTGTCGGCAGCGAACTACAGCAGAAAAGTCACCAACGAAAACCCTTAATGTGACACAAACGTCTTTTTATCGCTTTTAATATTTTCCCTTAAAAACTTGTACTTTCTGTTCCTAATGATTCGTATAGATCTTTACTGATTTCAAATAAATTGATCAGTGTAATAGAATTCTACAAAATAAATCTTTTGTAAGCCAAAGAGAGAACAGAGGGTAAAACTGTTGCAAAAAACATCAATCTATTGCAATTTTTATCATGAGACAGACTAGGGACAACATGTTCAATAATGTTTTTTTGCACAGCAAAAGGTGTTCTTTTAAATGGTTCTTTGGAGATTAAACTGACCTTTGGTTTTTATACTAAAATATTTCTTTTTCTCAAAACGACTGAAAAATCATACATGTAAAAGATAATATATTGTACGTTTTTTGTACAAATCACAGAAATAAAGGTTTGATAGAAAAATGAACCTCTCGATTTAAACTTTAAAAATATTCATTATATGTACATCTTTCATATTATTTGACTACGCTTGATCTTGGCTACATTTTGCCTATGACAGACTGTGGTTTTCTCAATACTTCGACCATATGATCATCTCATTTATGCAACATATCTTCTAAATCATAGTATACACTCGTGTAATAAATAAAAGTTCAGAAAAACGGAATTTCAAAGCATAACCATGTGTAAAGTTTTGTAGAGAAGCTCTTGCTCTACAATATGCGCTAGATGCGATCTTTCCTGTTTCTGATCTGACAAAATGTGAAACAAAGAAAAATGAATGATTGCGTTTTTTCAATATTTAAGGGTGTGGGTATCTTCTCTTTACTACACCCGCACCCACACCCCACATCCTCATACTGGTTTAAGTAAAATTCATATATGAAACAAGAATACTAATGTTCAAAAAAACACATTTAATAGAGATAATGCAAAGTTTACAAAATCAAACAAAAGCAATTACAGATCAAAAATTAATTCAAGAATTAGCAGCAGCAACTAGCGTTTTTTTTAAAGATGAAAATCAAAATCGTGATATTCATGTATAAAGGGCACGTATAATGAAGAAGGTTTACAATTGATAATTCAAGCATTACAAATACGTCGAAAATCATTACCAACAAGTCATCAAGATTTAACATTAACTTACAGTAGTCTTGGTTTACTTTATTCAATATTGATAAATATGAATTGGCTCTGAATAATTTTATAAAAGCACGTGGAATACATAATGCATCTAGTAATTCTGATCTACTTGGTCTTTGGATAATTGAAACATCAATCAAACGTACACAAAGTAGTAGTAGTGCGTCAGCATCATAGTATACAGCGTTTTCCAAAAGTCATGGCCATTTAAGAAATGCAAATAACTCTATTACTAAACAAGTTTAACCCTAATATTTTTTTTCATTTGAAAGAGGAGAACATAAAGTTTTTTTTGTCCAAAACAAAGTTTATGAATACTCTAACCATTTTTTCGTTTTTTTTCTTCAAACATGTAATTACATCATCAGGAGAAATGTATTTAAGGAGAACGGAAAAAGAAAGAGAAAAACCCATCATATAGTCAATGTATTAAAGTTACACAAAACGCAATTCAACAACATTCGTTAATGTCAAATAAATATACCGTTTCTTTCCTTACATTACCAGTAGAACTTGTCTATCGGATTCTTGATCAGTACAGTGACTATAGCATTTTACGGTCAATGCAAAATGTATGTCAACGACTCAATATAATCGTAGACACTTATCGCCGACCTAGGGTAAACTATTTTCTTCTATTATAAATCTGTCATTTTCATCAACTTTTAAATTATTTTTCATTCCTACAACATATGAACGGCATAAAATTGAAGAGACTAAAACAAATCAGTCTATAAGACATTAATCTTTTCGAAAGATCCACAATAAATCATTTACTAAAAAATGCTCACATATACAAAAAAACATTCTTTTATCTTTTATCTTTTTTTTCTCTTTGGTTCTTCGGCTAATTACCGTATTTCGATCAGCAGTGTTCAGACTTCCGGAAAAGGAAATTTCGGAAGTTTTGGAAATTTCAAGCACTTGTGTTCTAAATTGTTTGGTACTTCTCAAAATTATATAATTTCCGAAATTTCTGAAATTTCCAAAATTCTATACATAGCGAAATTACAGAAATTACAGAAAATTCTAAAATTTCTAAACTTTCCAATATTTCCAAAATATTTTCATTTGGTTTGCTATGTAGTTATCGAGTTGATGGAAGCTTCGGAAATTTCTGTAATTTCCTTTTTCGGAAATCTGAACATACCTCATTTCGATGACATTATTTCTTCCTATCCAAATGCAATCTTTTCAGAACAGTACAAAAATAAGGAAAAAAAGCAAAATTTGCCCCAAAGAAAAATAAATACATTATTATTGGATGCTGTGGCTTCCGCTAAATTTAGGTATCCGAACATCATGGACCTGAATGCGAGCGAGGGCATATTTAAGGCATCACTACAATTCTCACAACTATCCTCATATGCTGCAAAAGAAAGAATGTAGATGAAGATCTGAATAGGAAAGTAACACTGCATTCTTATCTCAATCATCGGACTTGAAAATTTTATCAGAGGTAGTCCTCGTGACATACTTAATCTCTGCACCAACTGGAGATCCATTGATCAAAAAGACAAAGAGAAAGAACAAAATTTTTTTCATTACCGTCATGCCTTGTCCATCTATCGCATGATTATATTCATCGGCATCTTTTTATGCAGTCACATACCATACTAAACCTATACTACAATCGAATTAGAGACGAATGAGTAAAACATCTTGGTGATTCTTTAAAGAACAATACGGTAATCCTCATTCTTTTATTATTATTCTCATATACTCATTTGCAAAATTTGATTCAGATATTCACCACAATAAATCTCCAAGGCAATAGAATCAGAGCAATCGGAGCACAACATATTGGTGATGCATTAAAGAATAACAAGGTGATCTTCATTTGATTATCATCAATCTCATATATTCATTTGCAACTTTTGATATAGACAATCACCATACTAAACCTCCGCCATAATCACATTGCAGACGAAGGAACACAACATCTTAGTGATGCATTAAAGAAGAATTCAGTAATTCCCGTTCTTTTATCATTCATCTCATATATTTATCTGTGCCTTTTTATACAGACACTCACTACACTAAATCTTCGCTACAATCAAATCGGAGAAGAAGGTGCAAAATATCTTGCTGATGCATTAAAGAACAATACGGTAATCTTTATTCCCTTATGATCTATCTCTAGACGAAAATAACCGGAACTTCGGCCAAATGTCACAAAATCTAAAACTTTTGCGATGTGTATAGCTGACGAAAACCTCAAGCGCAATTGATGAACCTATCTTATTATACAACAATGTTCTATCAAGATAACATCAATAGTATACAGAATTTTAATTTCTTTGATTTATTTCTATGATTTTGTTAAACAAGATAAAATAGAATCGTTTGAAATCATGAAAACGATAATAGAAAATACTCCGAAAAGTATATGTGATCGTAAACTAATATTATATACGTACTAGAACTCTATATGTCTTTTGAAGTCCTGATGTCACGTGTTTCCCCTAGCATCTATCTTATATACTGATTTGCACGTTGGGGTGTGGGTGTGGGTGTTAGTCTCCTCATTCATACATCCACACCCACACCCACACCCACACCCACACCCACACCCACCCACACCCCACACCCACAGTCACACCCACACCCACACTCACACCCACACCCACACCCACACCCACACCCACACCCACACCCACACCCTAAAAAAGCAAATGAATGTAATTAATGCTTACCGTTCTGTCGCAATAAAGAACAAACCAAATATTCAATTTCTATACATATGTGCGAAAAATGTACATTACTCATGCGAGAGTTGCGTCGAATTTGGGGAGCACGCAACAATATTCACAGTGAAGAAAAATTTTGATCACAGCACAGAAATGAAAGAAGGTGAATTTCGAATTACTCACGTCCTAGCATGCACGAACGTGAGGTAGCAATAGGCACCTGTGAATTTTTGAGAGAGAAATATACTACTCATGTGAAGAATGTGGACACCGAAAAAGGACAATGTGAAAGGGATTATTCATCTCAATTACTTCTATACCCACATCCAAAACAAGGAAAAAAAGCTTGTTAGCCCAGCTCCTGCGGAGCTGAAATGTGGAACTCACATATATCCTTAAATCTTTATATTCTAATACATCATATGTAAACTGAAAAATTCCGTGTACACTGTAGTTGTTTTCATTGATAGTCAATGACAAGAGCGACACTTTGTTATTTATTTCTTCATTTAAAACAGAAAATTTTTTTTTGTTTCAGAGCGCCCTATTTTTATTTTGCATTGTTGCTATTCGCTCATTATCTTTCATTCTTTTTAATTCATTTTTCGTAATTCAACATTCTTATTATTACAATCATTAAATTAATCAGCAAACAAATCTGTTTCACATATCCATGATATATACAGAAGATCTTATGCACTATTATATATATTAATCAGCTCACAAACACTGATGTTGATTATCTTTCAAAATTATAACTTGATCAATTTTTCAAAAAAAATTGAAAGCCTGAGGCTTGTTATCCTTAATTACTAAGGTCTGTAATGGGGGGGGGGGGGGGGGGATGTCTGCAATGTTCTCTTTCTCCGTTGCTATGGTCTGTAATGGGGGCCTGTCTGTAAGGAGGGGGTGGGGAGCCGCCAAACCTCGAACTTAAAACTTACACTCACTATTTTCTTCGAAAATATATGTGAGTTCCACAAAATGGAAGAGACAAGACACATCAGAGGTAAAATCGGGTGTGGGTGTAGATGAAGAGAAAACCAACACCCACACCCACACCCACACTCACACCCACACCCACCCTCACCCACACACCCACACCCACACCCCATCCACACCCACACCCACACCCACCAACACCCACACCCACACCCACACCCACTCACACCCACACCCAGCAGACCAACAATGCGATGATAAGTTCTAAGAGAACACATAAAATCGATTTATTATGGACAAAAAAAATGGAACTTGCATGAACAACATAAAACGTAATATAGTTAAATATTCCAGATGATTCAAAAGGAACGAACAAAATAATTCACTATAAATAAAAATAACGATCAGAAAAATCACGTAGTTCGTACAAGTATATAAAGAAGAATACAAAGAGTTGACACATTAGTTTTGTAAGGAAAAGCGAATCTACAAACAATTGGCTTAAAAATTGACTATCGCAATTCGCTTCGTAAACTGTTCCGTTAATTACATGTTTTAGTTAAAAAGTGCATCTGTGAATATCATAAGCTTTATTCTTTTTATGCGACACAAAAATGCTACCTTTCTTATTTAGAATTTGGGAAATTGTCGTTACTGCTAAAAAAATCTGTGTTCTGTATTGATCATTTTTAAAATAATGTTATTCTTTGTTTTATACTTGCAGATGCCTCTCAACATTCTCGTCTTCATCGTCATTTTTCACAAATCTCTTCTAATCAAACTTCATCGATTGGTCTTCATCGATATTTAACTGATTCAATTGGTCTATTTGCAATTGAAATATTGTTTTTAATTCATCTGGTAAAAGATAAAAAGCATTTTTGATTGATCGTATCTTTGCAGAACGATCCTTTGATGAATTATTATGTACTTTATCTACAGCTAGACTAAAATTTACTCGAATTTTTTCCATTAAAGAATTATAAACTTGCGTATATCTAGCATAACCATCTGAACTAACCTTCTTTAGTCGATCTAAAAGATCTCTAGGTGGATTTTTCGAATAATTGTTAATATCTGCAAAATCATAAAATTGCAAAATTTCATCAGTTAAATTATTTAATCTTGTTTTTAATTCTTCTGTTTTGCTATTTACGAATTTCGATGTATAATGGTCGGCTAAATCTTGCTGTGCATGGATGAGATTTTCCATACATTGTTCAGCCTCAAGAAAACTATTACCATTGATAAATATTTCAATATTCTTAATGCCATTTAAAATAGCTGTCGATAAAATTTGATTAATTTCATTGTCAAACTTTTGAAGAACACTTTTTGTTTGTTCATCTATCAATTCCATAATACGATATCGATTTAGAACAATTCGAATTTTTGTAATATTTTCATTGATTTCTCGAATTTCCTCTCGATTGTCTTCCTGTCGTTCGATTTTTCCATCAAGCCAATATGCATGACTTTTAGTATTTTTTATCATTTTATTTAGAGAATCCTGTAAATCATGTTTAATCTGAGTTAAAAATTTCGAATTAAAGGAAGTTTCAACAACGTTAGATAAGGCTAGATCCAGATTTGCATAGTCCCCCTTTGATATATAATCTATCGCCCTATCATAGGCTTCTCGAGATTCTCTGGCAATATCAATTTGATACTGTCTGTGTAAAGATCGAAACCCATTATCTGCTAATTTAACCGTACAAAACCGATCTATACAACTCAAAGCTTGAGCAATAATCAAGAGAGTTCTGAATTCTTGGTTTCTACCAGAAATTTTACATATTTCCACTTGATTCTCAAGAAAACGATGGTAATTGAAAAATTGTCGGAGCCAACGTTCTATTTTGTCAGCTCCACGCAGGCTTTCAAACACAAGTGTATACTTATCGAGAGAAGATAATTCTTCAAAACAACTTTCTAAATCTTCTGAATATTGACTACGATCACTTTCATCAATATGAGTTATATGCTTGAAATTTCTTTCTATTTCCTTCTCAAGAAAATAGCCATACTCTCTTAAGTACTTTCTCAAAATCTCATTCGTCTCTGCAGCCATTTCTTTAACACGATGATATCCTACTTTTTCGCAATTACTTATGTATATCAAGCCATTATTTGCTACAAAAGCGTCTAATTTGTCACTAAAATAATATGTTTGCTTATATTTCTCATAGTCAATAAGTATTTTCTTCTTTTCTTGAATAGTTTTTTCAAGTAATTCATAACTGGTTTGTTTTTTCTCTTGTAGAAAATCTTTTTCTTTAAGAGAAGTCAAATGACTTGAAGCTAATAATGAACTATATTCCTCATTGATGGATTCGAGGCGAGTTAAAGTATTATTAAAATCTTTACGCTTCTGTACAATCAATCGTAATAGTTTATCGTAATCTTCCTGAATTTGTGTCATAGTGTTATAGACGATTTCAATGTTTGAATATCCTTGTTTTTTTAAATAATCATTCGACTGACTGTCAGGTTGTTGAAATCCTGTTACTATTTTGGAAATCATTTGACCTACAATGCCTAGATCTATTCTTGAAGAAGTTAAATGTTTATAACGTTGAATAATTATATTCAACTCATTCAATTGAGATTCAATTGTATATTTCTCAGTTTCTATTTTTTCAAGTTCTGCATGGTGTCGAATTTTTAAATTTTCAATTTCATGATTCACTTGATTTATATCGGAATAACCAAATTTTCTTAAACTGATGCGAGCTGGATACAATTGCTCGTATTCAGTTTTTATTTGTTCTAATTCCATCAATTCTTGATTTAGCTCATTTGTAGTTTTATCTGATAAATTGAAAGTTTTCTGAATATGATCGAATACTTCTTTTGTAATTCGAAGGAAATATTGATTTATCCGATCTCGATAATTCGTTAATTCTGGAATGGTATGTTCTAAAATCTTCATTGATTCGATTTTCTCAATAATCTCCTGTGCTAAACGAATATTTTCCGGACATTTTAAAGTAAAATCCAATTTTTGTAAATGATGTTCTAACTGATCAACATGTTCTTCTAATTCTTCCCGAATATGACACATTAACGAATCATAACTACCTGGAAAAATACGATCGATCCATTTGGTCTTTTTCAAACGTAATAATGCTCTTCTTAGAGGTCTAAAATTGATCTTCCCTGGTGGATGATCAAGAAGATGTTCGGCATCTCTTTGCCATTGTTGCATATATCCACGTATATTTTGTATACTATGATAAAATGTTCGGGCAGTTTCTGATTCAATTTCGGGTAAAGTACGGATCATTTCCATTTGAATAACTAATTGTTCGACAAGTTCAAGTGCATGATTTCCATTTTTTTCAAAAAGGTCCTTAATTCTTGAATTTATCTCATCAAAATATTTAATAATTTTTACAATAAATTCATCGTAAATTTTATTTAAATCTTTGATAGTTTCGATCGAAATATCATTTTTTATTTTCATGATTTCTATATATTTAGAAATTTCATCTTGAAGCGAAGATGTTTCTTTCGCTGTTCTCAATAGGATCATATAATTTTCAAGAATTTCTATATCAGTATTACTTAATGTTATTTTGGTCAAAATAGAATTTGCTTTTTCAGAAAAACTATTCAAATATTGTAAAATTAATTTGATAATGTTATGATAGTTTTCCTCAACTTTTCCATTTAAATGATGATTTAGAACGGGTAAACATTTCGATATGATCAAAAGTTTTTCGGCTACTTGTTTAAATTCATTTGTTGAAATGAGTTCTGGTACGGATTGTATCAATGTAGATTCAAAACGTTCGGTAAAATCTTTACATGTTTTTATGTAATAAGATTCAAGTTGTTTGAAAAAATTTTTAAGTAAATGAAAATTATCTAAATGGATTCCAATCGAAGAACTGTATAAATCTTGTTCTTTCAGAATAAAACTTCTTTTTTCAAGTTCAGAACGAACGTTCTCGATTAATATGTCGGTGGATACTAGTTTTGATCCTAAATGTTTTCTTAAATTTTCAATCTGTTGGATATAATCATGAGCAGTTTTATACTCTCGAATATCTTCGTCTTTCAATCCATCTTGACTAGCTAAAGCACGATTGAATTTTCTCATCACATTTGTACAATATTGCTCTATATTCTCGCTTAGAAATCGTATCGAATTTTCATATTCATCTCGAACAAGACCTTGCTTTGTCAAGTCACTTAAGACCTTGAGATTATTCAAATAATACATTACAAGATAAATGTTTTTGTGTTCCAGTGCACATTTGACACTTGAGTTATCTCTTTGTGCCTGATTTACAATACATGCTTGTGTTTCTTCGCTTGTCGAAAATCGAAAAACTTCTTCGGGATACATAATACCCTCTACATTTTTTAATTTTCTAATAATGTTTCTCGGATCTCCTTTAATAAGATCAATATTTTCAGCACCATCCTTAGTTTTATTGATCATATCTGTTAATACTGCTACAAAAGCATTATCCGATCGTAAGCTGGAATCGTTCTCTGCTGTCGAAGTTTTAATGTCCATTATCATAGCAGAAATATCCATGTCTGGAGGATATTTCGTGAATGCATAAAAAATCCCATACAGTCTATCTTCAAGTCCTTGAATCATACTAATCAATATGTGTGCCAATATTTGAATACCTTGTCCTCTATCTCCTAAGCTTCTATAGCTTGATAGAGCAAGTATCTTAACACTCTTACAATTTTTGAGAGCTTCGATAACTCCTATGCTATTAGCAATATCGACTTCTGGACCTTCTGTGTCACCGAAACCTGGCGCATCACATAGGATAATCTCTCCGGTCTCATGATGACCGAAAATATCCTGCAATTGTACTGTAATGGGTACAATATATCGAGTTTCGGACTTACTTAACGGACTGTTTATCACACTATTTAATCCAGCATTCCTGACAGGTCTGTCTATTGTTATATGTTCTAAAAACTTTCCAGTGGCGATTTCTACCAGCATATTTTTCATCTTAGCTCCAGTAAGAAACTGAATTGTCGTCGATTTTCCACTACCAGTAGTACCTACTAACAGAATAATGTCTTTATTATTGATTAATGCAGCTGCTTTTTGCGTCTTTTCCATGAGTCTTTCTATCTCCTGTAGATACAAAGGTCGAATTTTCTTTAAGAGTTTAGTTAATACATGCACTGTAGATGAATAATCTTCGTTATGTACAGTTCGGTTCAAATCTTGAAGATAAGTTCTGATTAGTTCTGAAAATAGTTCTTCTTTTTGAATTTGATCTTGCAATTTTTCTAATTTCAGAGTGACTGATTCGGGCGTTTTTTCACCTATGCAATCTTTTAGTAATTTTTGTTGAAAATGTGCCAAAAGTTCCATAGTAGTTTTCTCAGCACAACAGGGCATATGAGCCAAATCATCAAGTAAATTTTTCAGATCCGCTCGCTTATTTTCTTCATGGAAGGTTCTACTATGACTTACATTTTCTACTATTTCTTTTACACACGTGTTCTCCTGCAATGCATCATCCGTTTTCGAAGGAGTCTCAGTCGATTTCCGAAAAACTATCTCTTCTATTATTCTTTGTAATTGTTCTAAATCGCGCAAATATTTCATTTCTTGTTCAGCTGCATCTGTTCTGTCCTCGTCTTCATACTGTTCAATTCTCTTTTCTGTTCGTTTAATTCTTTCTGTCAATTGTGTTACATCTTTAATTCTACATTTTTCTAAACCATATGTCAATCTATTTTCTAGTTCACTCAAGTCTAATTGGTCGATAGTTTGCAAAAGAAGTAGAGCAGATTTTAAGGATATTTCTTGGCTAAGTACTTTCAATTGTTTCAATTCATTTAAATATCTTATTTCTTTTTCAACTTCATCATTTCTATCTTCATCTTTATACTGTTGAATTCGTTCTTCTGTTCGCTTCATTCTTTCATCTAAGTGTGTCATATCTTTGATTTTACGTTTTCGTAAATCATATTTCAATCGATTTTCTAGTTCGCGCAATTCAAATTTTTTACCGTCTGTAGAAATGCATGTAGTTGTTGTCGAAACATTTCCATTTGTTTCCTTCAAGCTATTGATTTGTTTGTGTTCAGCCGAATTTCTACTTGGTTTATTGTCCCCGAGGATTGAATTCAAGGATTGATCCATCTTTGAGTTAATCACTTTTAGTGTAGTTGATAATTGTATCTGTACTACTTCTTCGATTGCTTGAGGTACTCGAAAAGGGATAAAATTAGGCCCTTTTATCGGATCAATACATTTGGTTTGTTGAATCTATCAATCTGCTTGGACTTCTATATAAACTTTAGTCAAATGTTATTTTTTCCAAAATACAATTCCTTGAATAATATCTGATAGTTTGCTTCGAATTTTGTTTCGATGGACTTTCCACAGTAGTACCCACAATAGCTAATATACCAATGGATTTGAAAAGTATTTAGGAGATTATTAATGAAACTCGTCTAATCAAGTTAATAGAGGTGTTTGAATATAATAATTTTCCAAATACGGAATAATGAAATATTCTGAGTATGCCAATCGTTAGGATAGTGACTTCCTCGTACTCCTACAGAAAATACCCCGTCGTCTGCGTTTATGACAGAATCCGGAAATTGAGTAAAATTTCAATTTGATTTTGTGTTCAGAATATTGGCTGATCCTTTAATTTTGAACTGTAACTATAGACCGTGTTAAGATGGAAAAAAATGTTAAGAAAGATGAAGATGAATCTAGATAGAAATAAAAGTAGCTTATTCGCAGTTTCTGATTGAGTAATTCGATAAGACCTACACATTCAATCAGTAGTCAATCGCCCGACTTTCCGCCAAAGTAAATATTTTTCAGGCCAATCCGACATTGGATACTAAGTACAGTGCTTGGTACTTTCCGTACTTTTTGCTTAAAAAATGACGAGTACACCAAGAGAAAACGGTGGATTTCGTATTTCCGGGATTTTTCAGATTCTCATTAGATTTTTGGGATTTCCATCGCACTTCTATCCATTCATCATTTTATGTACTAGATTTCTATTTCATTTTCGAAGGTGCGTGTGTTATCTTCAGGTTTCCAGTAGATGTGTCAGAGCTAAAGCCCGTCGGGTAGGACCCGGACCCGAACTCGCTCAGGTCCGGGTCTAAAAGTTTCGTTTTGACCGGGTCTGGGTCTGAAGAAAACTTTGATGCATCAATGTACTGTGAATTTTTTTTAAAGTTTTATTCGTTTTATGAAGAAGAAGAAGAAATCAAACGTATTTAGAAAATAGATGAAAAATAACAAAACACTTGTTAACTATATTAAATAAACTGATTTATCATTGTGCTTGGGTTCAAAAACTTTAAGCGACCGGGTCCGGGTCCAACATTGGGTGTGGGTGTGTGGGGTGTGGGTGTGGGTGCGAGTGGGGGTGTGTGGGTGTGGGTGTGTGCGTGTGTGGGGTGTGGGGTGTGGGCGTGTGGTGTGGGTGTGGGTGTGGGTGTGGGTGTGGGTGTGTGGGTGTGTGGGGTGTAGGGTGTGGGGTGTGGGTGTGTGGTGTGGGTGTGGGTGCCCAGGTCGAAAAATCTGACACAAGATCTTATGAAATACATGCAAGATCTTGGAATATGGACGAAATCTTACAAGAATCATACAAAAAATCGTAGTTCCTGCGATCTTAGATCAATTCGTACAATCAGATTCTTGAAAGATTTTATTAATGTGTAAGATCTTTCAAGAATCTGATTGTACGAATTGATCTAAGATCGCAGGAGCTACGATTTTTTGTATGATTTTCGTATGACCGTACAAGATCATATAAGATCAGATCCAAGATCTTCTCAGATCTTACTATCTGATTGCTCGATCTGGGTGTGGGTGTTACTTAAAAGTTGAATCCATTCAATTGGAACCAGTGGGATCCGAGTCCTATCTTGTCGTGTCCTGTGATCGGACCCAAACTTCATAGACGAATTTCAAATGGCCGGATCTGGGCTTCGTAACTAGACCGGAAACGACAGTATATGGCTCGTATCCTGTCGCCGTCATAAGTCGCTCGAACCGGACGCGGGAACCGTACTGGAAACAGGCATCAGTATCTAGCCATCGCTTCCAGACTCCGGAACTGACGGGAATTAAGCAGAAAACGGAGGCCGGAACCGATTTAGGAATACTGCTACCCTGAAATCGCCGAAAATTCACCGGATCAGGCTGTTTCCTGCCGTACATCTTGGACCTGGATATCTTAGAGAGACTTCATTCATAACTTCTGAAATTTTTTATGCAAACTAGTCTAGCTGAGGCCTTTATGCAGGCAAATTTTCAGGTCAAACTTCGAGAGTATAGCTTTGCTGCCAATATTGGCGTACTATAGAGAAAATTCACTAGGAGCTCGATATCTCCTCAGAAACAAGCCAGAAATCCGAACTTTTTCTACTATAGACACAGCTCACTCTGCGCTATAAGATGCGCGAAATTCCGACTAAAAAGCGCTCCTGTACCTGGGATTGTTCCCTTGTAAGCCGTACTGTAAGAACCATCCAAGATATTACTGTCATATAAGATCTACTATATTCTTATAGCTAATTCTTGCCTAACAGCAAGATCTATGATGGATCTTATAGTGCAACTTATTATAAGACTGCATGAACTACGATTTTTTGTACGATTTTTGTCTGATCTTACAAGATCATATAGGATCAGACGTAGGATCTTATAAGATCTTACTGTCTAATTTGTTGACCTGCGCATGAATATGGCTTTGGTCCGTATAATTATACTGTAAATATACGGGTCAAAGACATATACATGTAAAAATTCACGAGTACGAGTAAACTCAGATGAGTACCAAGTACCAAGTACAAGTACCACGTACAAGTATTTTCTTGCAAGTACAAGTACTTGGTACTCGTACTTGCTGTACTTGTACTTGGTCTATTTCTAGTATAGACCCCCACTAAATATAAAGTCAATGTCTCCTCTCCACATCCTGACTCTCACCACGACCTCGCGGCAAAACTCACCTTACATCCTCACTCTTTGAAGTTTTGCGCAGTCATCCTAGCCCCCAATGTTGAACATTGCGGAACCATTTCTGCTCCCGGGATCAGTTCCGTCCAATTCCGAGAACTCGATCGTCATACAAA